CCCCCCCATAACATCCAATTTTGCTGTTGTTGTCTGCAACTTAAGTCTGTGGTTTAAAGGCTACTCATATTTTCTTAAGCTTTAATGGAAAGAGGGATAGTTTTGAAATAGTTTGAAACTTGAAGATTTTCAAGTTTCAAACAACATGCTGTAAAGCAGTTGCTCTAAACAAACTCCACTGGTTGTTTGCACCCATGCTTGCAGACTCCTTAGGTGTTTTACCATACAGAGTGTTTTAGCTATCAGATGGGAAATGCTGCATGTAATGGAAGGAGCTGCCACCTTTATGATACAAATCCTGTTAGCCAGGCTTCTTCTGCCAGTAGTGTGTGATCATGATGTTTTGTTTCAAAACTTTATCAGCTGTATGATGAGTGCTCTTATTGGTAATAAGTAAAAGGACATGTAGGAACCATGGCAATCTTGGCAAATGATGTCATTTTGCTCTCTGAATAATACTGTTTGTCTTTGAAACTGTTCTAACAGTGTGCCACTGCTTTGACTCTGAAGCACTGTGTGCACTCTTCAGTTCTGCCAGACTTGCTCGTAGTCGTTAGTTTGGCTGTATATTGTTTGAGCTCTGAAGCACCATGTCTTGTGACATGGGTGATTCTCTCCTTGTTCTGAGTGTATGATGTCAAAGGATAGAAACATCCAGCGAGTTGTCAAGCTATGATGACATCCAATTATATCACTTGGATCGTTGTGAAAGGATCATGTCTGGGTATTGTAAGTTCAAAGGTGCACAAATTTGGTTTGTTGCTGAATGCCCTTCTTGTTTGAGCGCTGTGTGTGCAATTGCAGAAAGTCGGTGATTTGCAGCTACAGATTTGCAGATTGCAAGTAGAACAGTAAGCGTTTCTAGCAGCAGATGGTGTTCACCTAAGAGTGCTATAGGAACTGAGATATGAGATTGCTGAACTGTATTAATAAAACTACTAAAAATGGCATCTAATCTGTCAGCTAAATATGTCTCTGATGGCAGGGGAATGGAAGTTGGCAAATACAACCCTAGCCTTTTAAAAAACATCAGAGTATTTCTTTGCCAAATTTATAGGAGCTAAAATAAAGAATGGGATTGGTGCATATGAGAGGAAGCATTAATGGGGGAAGGATCAACGCTGGGACATTGCAGATACATTAGAATGGTCTGAAGGGGTCTGATGTGGAAGAGAGAGATACAATTCAAAAATCTTTAGGTGAGTTTTTAGACTTCTTATTGGGGAATAGAATGTAGGAATAAATGGTCAGTTCTCAGTGGAGGCTAATGTGGTTCTCCTGGAACCAGTGCTGCTCTGCATAAATGATGTGTAAAAGTGGGTGAATAATAAAGCAAGCCAGAGATGCAGTCATTATTGATTCATGCAGATATATTTAGCAGAGAAAAATTACACTGATGTACAACAATCGAGTTTAAACTTTGTAGTAGTGTCTTGAAGCTTTTGACAGTGTAAAAAGTGTGGCCTCAGTACTTGGTGCTCATTACAGCAGCGATCAGGGTGTTAAGTCTTACTATGAAAAGATAAATCAGAACATAGCTGAGCTGTTTTTATATATCCATTGTGTGTCCATATCTGGAGGACTACGGATGTTTGGATTTCTGTATTTAAAAGCGCAGAATAGAGGTAGGAAGGAACAGAATAAGTGCTGAGGATGATCAGAAGTACAGAACAACTTCAATTCACAGCTCCTGGATGTGTTTCCTGGGCTTTCTGTGGTAGTTCTGGAGGTTGAGGTGTCAGGGGCAAATATCTTGATATTTAAGCTTTTTTAAGTGCTTGGGGTTTGGGTTTTTCTGCTTATAGATATTGTAAATCTTGTTTGACTGTTCACTTGCTGTTTTAACTTTTTAACCTGATAATCTAATACCATTCTCTTGTTCAGCTCTTCTTGCAGAAAACAATGGTGACTTCTGTCGTTTGTCACATGAACTCGTTTCAGTTCAAAGACTTTTGTACCTGGGCTGTGTAAATAATGCTTTGTGTGCAGTCCTCTGCCCCTCAGGAATGTCACTGATAGCATATTTAAAAAAAAACCAAAAAACAACCCACCACTTTTCATTCTATCTTTAACAATATGTTTTAGATCCGTTTTGATGCCTGGGACAGAGGAACACTTGAGTCGGGGTTTATCGATTTAAGGCAGGCTCATGTGCCTGGCCTTCTGACAGTCTAGTTCTATTGTGCAGGGTTCTGCTTTTCTGGACAAGTCTGCGGCTGTAACAGAATCCCATGTTCTCTTAGTTTTCAAGGTTTATTATTGCTTTCTACCAGGGCCAGAAAATAGTTGTTCAACCAGTAGGGTTCAAATGTACTGTTAAAACTAATCTGATTAATCCCTGCAAGCATGAATAACTCTATTTCAGTTTGAGGTTAAAGTGACAGTTACGCAGAATTTTCAGAGATGATGTGCTTATATGTTTATTGGTTAACGTAGGGCTTTTGTTCTTGTTTTGTTTTTAGGACTCCACTGTGGCTGATATGGAAGATAAAGTTCAGACAGTAGTAAGTACAACTTTTTGTTGAAACTCAGCTGCGTGCGTTCACATTTATTTCAGTGGTTTCTATGCTGACTGTACTGACAACAGGTTTCCAATCCCACACATAGAAGTTTATCATGCAAGTAAATATTGTTATGAGCCATTTTTTGAATATTCTTTACTGTAGAGCAAATCAGTGAAATCTGAACATATGGGTAGTGTGTGTAATAGCACAGAGTCAAGTATTCCTTAAAGTTTCATTGCACGGCTATTTTTTCAAGAGAATTTAGAGCTCAGGTTTACAAGGGAAAGGTAGTAGTGTAGAATGATTGTAGGCTAAATAAACCAGTTATGCCTGTGATGTGCAGTTAGTGCCTTAATAAGCAGACACTGTGCCTATTAAGCTTCATGTAAAAGAACCGCCCTGACACAGAGCTGAAGTTCTGTCTCTGTACTTGAGCTTGAGTTTTCAGGGTTGTTCAAAGCAGCCTTGTGACCAAATGAGGAGCGTAATGGAATGCTCTTTATATTTTGTAACAGTTAATCATCGCTTCCTGCTTTTGACATGAACCAGGCTGTGCTCTTTGATAAGGCCTTCCGCTAGCTCATAGATGCTTAGGAATTTAGTAGCACAATAACTAAAAATAATTTTGTCCATAAATAGTGAGACCACGTAAAAGGGAGTTTTTTGCATCTTTCTTTTTCCATTTGTGCACACCCACTCTGGAAGTAGGTATTGTTGTTTGGGGTTCCCTTGATTGAGCAGTTCCTCACATTCACACTTAAGCATTGTTTTGATTTATTCTATTGCCGCTCTATAAATCTGATGTAAAACAAAATAAAAAACGTTGGAACTATTGTTTCTAGGGACCATTATAATCCAAACCAGTGTCGTATGACACAGCTCCCCCCATCCTGTAGTTACATATGTCTGCTTTGACTGAAGGAGTCAAACCCCTTGTGAAAGGTGTCTTACCTTGCTGGCTCCCAAATTGTGTATAACTAACTACTGTACTGTGTACTAATCCTCACTACCCTCTCCTTTAAGCTTTTGTAACCTATTTTGAGTTTCAGCATTGCTTCAGATAATGTCAAGACTCAAAACATACTGTAGGCCATTAGTGAAATTTGAGTGTAGGGAGGCCACAGATATTTGGATTATGATTTTTTTTTTCATGATTAATTAGCCATTCTGCTAGTTAAAAGTTTTACAAGACAAAGCCGTTCTGCCTCTGACTTTACTGACACACGCTCAAGGTCAGAATTTGCCTTTAGTTATAATGTTGGCTTAGGATCAATTATGTCTTGGTCAAAAGGAAATATGAACCTTGCCTGCGTAAGCATTCCAGAAGAGGTCAGTTCAGAGGCACGGTGGAGAGAAGTAATGCTGAAAGGCTTAAGTGCTCGATGTCCTAACTTATACTGTAAAGCTGTGTGCAGATAAGTCAGTGACCAGCACTGCACTTCTGACACATGGCCTATTTTATTCTCATAGTAGAAATAAAGAACAACATGAAAACCTGTCAGTTGTTCCCACAAGGAATTATCAAAATGCTTCAGTATTTTAATGGGTCATATTTTGGTTAAAGCAAGCAAACCCCTAACCCAATTTTTTGCTCAATTTTGTGTGTTTATTTTTTTAAACAGAGGATATGTTGGCATCTGTTAGTGATGATGAGTTGGCACTAATAAAACCAGGTTGTTTATACTAGGTTACAGTAAGAAGATAAACACTCTGTAGTATAGATATATAAAAATGAATCTTCTATTTCGGTGATTCTTAACTAAGCTTTATTAGTGAACCCAAGTTTTCAAACTCGTTTCCGTTTTCAGAAACTGAAAGCGGAAGAAGTCAGGAGAGAAACTTTGTAACTGTATGTTCTCATTGTAGGCCAAGACTTTAAATGGCATTTGTGATAAAGCCATCCGATCAACTACAGATCCATTGATGAGCCAGTGTGCGTGTTTGGAGGAGGTTCATTTAACCAACATTAAACCTGGAGAAGGCCTGGTAAGAACTAATTCTGGAGTGTCCTGATATCCCCAGTGCTTATTAGGTAGTCTTGTGAGCCACTGCATGTATGTGTATAGCAAGAGATTTCAAACCCAGTAACACTCTATGGGGAACAGAAAGATGTATGGGGAGGAACTCTGAATGGTAATTGTCAGGCGGTGTGCTGGAGTGGCTGCCAGAGGCAGCATGTTAATAGGTTTGATCCCAAATATAATTTTTTGATGGTAGTTTTTTTCAGATTTGTGTCTTAACCAGGATATTGGGGAATTTACAGATGCTTGTGGAATCAGTTGTTTTATTTTTTCAGGTTACTTTAAGCTGCTGTTTTTCTAAGGGGGGCCTAGGGGAGGGAGAAGATGATGAGAAATGATGATTGTGTTTTGAAAGACATGTTTTAATGTGTGTTTATAGCAAGATTGAGAAGAATGAGGATTTTTGAGTTTGCTGATAGAAGGAATATGAGAAATCCTTTTAAATGTTCAGTGGCTACGTAATGTTACTGAATCTAGTTTGTTCAGTGGATGGTGCTTAGCTGAGTGCTGGTTATGAGAAACTGAGTTTGACATCTTGGTGGATTTTCTACCTGGAGAACAAGCATGTTATAATTTGTTGGAGGGAATTTAAATTCTGAAGTGCATTTGTATTCTCCTGCCTCCCGCCTCCTGGCCCTGAAGGCAGAAGAGATGAACACTTTCAGAGGAAGTTTTACAGTCTTACTGTGCTATATAGTTTTACGTAGGTCACTAGATTTGACTGAATCAGTCATGCATTCTTGAAATTATGGGGACCTCTTTGTTAATGCACAAGCTACAGTGAAGCAAAGTCAGCCTAGTTTGGACTAAGTAAGAAACAAGGAGGTAGGTGCACACAATTGGATCCCGACAGACAAACTGGGAAGGGAATTGGCTGGGGAGGAAGGGGAAAAAAAATCTTGTGTTTTAACTTGTACTTCTAAGCAAATGTGGTAACTTCAGGCAAATAAACTGCCTACGACTCCTGAATAACAGCCAATTCCATACAGCTCGGTGTGAGTGCTTCTAACAACAGACATAGTTAGGAAAAGTAGAGATGTGTTTGTTCATAAATGATGAAACCAATGTACTGGTCACCTCTTGTGGGGATATCTATGTAATTATTAGTTAGTAGTCTGCTGGTGATTTTTAATATGGTCAACACCCACTTCATCTGAGTTTGTCCTTGCATTCATGCTTAGTATTAACATACACAGCCACAAATACTCAGTTCTGCCAGAGCTTTTATTACCTACGTTAGCACTGTGGTTACAAGGCAGTCTGTATATTGACTTGCCTAGAGAAATTGTAAAAGAACATGTAGACGATGTTTGTACTGCACTGTATAAGTGTGCTTTGTACAGAGAGAGCTGGTGGCCATCTAGTAAAACCTGTAGTTCTCCAGTGCACACCCGGAAGTAAGGAAATGAAGTTTTGTTCAAGGCCAAAGCCTGACAAGGCAGCAAAACCAGCAGTGTTTGGTATTACCAACCAGACAGTGTTTCTAAATTGCACTCTGTATGTTAGGTGTTTTAAGTCATAAATATTATAATTAATTACAGTAAAAGTGATCTGTAAAGAGGTTTAGAATGTTGTAATATCAGACCACACACTTTTCTAGGGAAAATATGTGCATTGTTAAGTGTTTTTAATAGTATTTTGAGTTTGTTGCCAACAGTTGTTCAATCAGATAAGTTATGTGGGGTTTTTTGCCTTTAAACTTGTTTTTCTTTTTCTACTTGCATTTAGGGAATGTACATCAAATCAACTTATGATGGATTGCATGTAATTACTGGAACTACAGAAAATGTAAGTGAAGTAAATGTAGATTAACTTAGACTGACATTATCTTTGAGTTAGTTTGACTTTTTTACTACTTTTTCCTGTTTTGCATATGGCTTTCATGATATTACTGCTTTAAATACTGTGTGATGCATCATTTGTTTATCCAAAATTTGTAAATATTTTGTGTCTGCATGCTTCATTGTTAGTCTAATTAAACCAGTTCCTGCAAGTGTATGAGTTAGTTCAAATGCTTGGTCTTAAAATATTTGTTTTAATAAGTTACTGTATCTGCTGTTCTGAGTGCTTATGGTATCTTGCTAAAAGTCTTGAATGTATTTGCTCTCTACTGGTGAAGGCAATCACCCCTAATGGGAACATATAGGTGGCAGTGTGCTAAATTCAGTGATGAGTAATGAAATCAATAAGCTCTCCAGTGACAAAATTAACTTGCAGAGTGAAAGGACTACGAAAAAGTAAGACTTTTAATAGCGGTTTGCTGGAAGGAAGTGGTTGGCATGATAGGCAACTGTATCTTTTGCTGGTCATGGTTGCATGTTTTACTCTTACATTGAGTTCTCTATAGCTGAGACTTTATTAAAGATTTCTGGGCAGCTATTGCAGTAGACCTCTGGCCAGCAGCTGGCAGCTGAGGCTGGTGGATGCTGCTGTGGTGTTGTCAGACATGCCGCTCTGCAGGAGCAGTGGCTGAAAAGAAAGAGCAGAGGAACTTGCCTCTTTTTGAGTAATTTTTTGCAGTGACGCCTTTCCTTTTTTTTTTTTTTTTTTTTTTTTTTTGTGGTTTCAGTTGTACTCCTGCCAAGTCCAGGGGCCAGCGAGGAGTGGGTGGAAAACTGTGCTTGCAGTTCAAAGTGAAAACTGAAAGCTTTTATAGCTTTTATGTTATTGCCCTGGTATAACTCTGAATAGGATCTGCAACAGAGACCAAGTCCACTTTGACAGCAATTTCAACATCTGATAAATGTGAAAGAATGTGATGTTGACTGTCGACAAGCTACCTGTATATATACATCTCATTTTGGGGCCAGGAGCGGGGTTGTATTGTTGCTATAGCTGTGAGCATTGACCTAAATGTCTGCTTTTTTGTGAACATTGGTTCTTCCTCTGGTGAAGCTCTTTACTTTGGAGCAAAAAGTTTGAGAAGTGACTGAGAGGTCTGCAAACTGATGTCTTTCTGGTGGCGTGGGGTTGTTTAGATGACCCAGTCTGGGCTTTAGCTGGATTTTCTTTGTAGGTTTGGAATGGTATTTTGGTAGCTATCCCCAGAAGCCGGTGTGTTGGAATGCAGTGGAATTGCCCCCCGAAGTCAACAGTACTGTACATTGGAAGGATTGGGGATGTCCATGCATTTGATGCCAGTCAGCAAAGAGAACTCTTGCGTTGTGCTATCCTACTTGTGACTTTCTGTGTCATGTTGGCCTAGATCTAAACTTTGCTCTTTCCTCTGTTCTCACAATGTAATTGCAGTCTCTGCTGTGCTCTAGCTGGAAGTTGTAGGAGTCCTCTGTGCAAGGGTCCTCCACCCTCCCCCAGACAAGCTGTTGATAGCCCAAAGGACAGCTTGAAATGAGCTTTGTTTTTCACAAACTTGACTTTTGCCCAGCATTTTTTCATGATCTTGGTTGACTCATATATATACAGCCTTCCACAGAGGCATTTCCTCTCAGAGGAAGCAAGAAGACAATGAAGAAATGGGTTTACTCATGACAGCTAGAACCTCCCACAAGTTCCCCCATGTTTTTTTCTCTTGTTGCACTGTTTATTCCTATAGATCCTTTTATTAAAAGAAGTTACTTGAGGTTTGAAGGTGTGATGATGAAGAGAGTCCTTAATCCAAGTGCTTAGTTCTGGAGTCAGTAGGAAGAGTTGGCCTTGTGCCAGGTGGTTACTCATGGGGTGGGGGTTATGGGAGGAAAAGTCCCGTGACTGGGGTATAGTATGCCACAGTTATATGCCTGTGCACCTTGGGTGTTGTCATGACTGGTCAGGGTTGGTGTGTTATAGCAGTGAGACAGTTTTAATAACTGCAGTGATAGCTGGTGCATGGCACCAGTCGTAGATAAATCTAAATAAATATTAACACATTTAGCTGTTCCCTGCTAGTGGTTCCCCAGAGTTTGGTGTTTGTTCCAAGAAAATTGAATCTTAAGGTATATTATTATTATTAGTTAGGTATTTTTCAAATATCTGTCTATGCACACTTGATGTGTGTGAGAATATATTTTTATGTGTTGATCTTGATGATGCAGGCAGGTAATTTCATATTAAAGTTGGGAGCTCTTATTTACATTATGAAACAAAAAGAGAAAGTGCAATGGATCTGTTTTGTGGGTTGGAGGGTTTTTGGTCCTTTGTTCTGTACATTCAGAATCCTAGTGTATTTTTTAAAAAGTCAGTATATGTTTATTTGAAAGCTAAGTGTAAGACAGTTGCTATGTTAGGACAGAAGTCTTCTCTTCAGTCCTCTCCTACTGCTGTGTGAAACTACAGTACAAACTGGAGGCAAAAGGACAGTGGAGACTGTCCTATGAGTTTAGTATGATTTGGCTTGTGACATATGTAGGCTATGCTTCTGCCTTTCCCTGTAGTTCCCCCAGCATAAAAAAAATAAATCATAAGTTGAATTTGTTTGCATTTCTCAACTCATGAGCAGATGTAATGTGTGATCTAGCTGTGGGACAGTTTTCAGCAATGCTCTTCATTATAGATACAACCTTTGACTTAGCTTGGCAGGGAGTTTTAGGGGGGGGAAGAAAATCTGCTGAAGCACGTGCCTCTTGTTTTCCTCTTCGTAGTCCCCTGCTGATCGATCTCAGAAGATTCATGCTGGTGATGAAGTGATCCAGGTTAATCGGCAAACCGTGGTTAGTAACAAACACCCTTACCAACCTTTCCTTATGCTTGCTCTGCAAAGCTTGCTTCCCACAGGTCAGGAGGTGGTTCTGATGTTCCCTTGTTGTAATATTTGAGGCTTTTTAACATTTTGTTTTCAGGACAGATTTTATTCTTTGCAATATTTTGATAAATATGCAGTATTTCATGTTTAAATGCTGTGTGCATCATATTAAAATACTTCATGTTGTATTTAAAGCCTGTTTTAAAATGCATTGTTACAATCTAATGAAATGCAGATAAAACCAGCTTTAAACAAACCCCCAAGTATTTGTCAAATTGTTTGCATCTGAGAACTTAGATAAGATTATTACATTTTTGCTTAGCATAGGTAAGCAATGCTTTTCAGTGTGAGGAAAAAAAATGACAAAACTAGTTCACTGTGAATTCCTGTGTTACACAATTTGAACACATCTATACATCCTTCTAGGACCAGACCTGAGGTACCAATATATAGCTGCGGTATAAAGCTTGATATCTCCATGTTTAATTTACAGCTTAAGTAGAGATCTCTCTTTGAAACAAAACAAAGTGCAACCTTCCAAAAAAAAAAGCAGCTTTCCAATTCTTTCTTTTATTTTGGCTTTTTTCTATCTCTGTTCTCTCTAGGTTCATGTTAAAATGACAGTTTGACTTGGGGGGGG